GGTTTGGTTTGGGTGGGTGTTCCTGGATCCAGAGTTGACTTTTGGTCACTCTCAATTGAAAGTGATATTAGGACATCCAGATGGAAATGATCAACAGGTGGTTAGGTACATGTGAGAGAGGTCAAGTCAGGAAAAAGGATATAAAGGTTGGAGAGGTATCTACATAGAGGTAAGAACTATGGAGACCTCAGTGCATCTCCTGTATATCTATGTGGAGGGTGGAAGTGCCTCTAGAATGGAGTCATAAGGAGAAAGACCCAGTTATGGTCTGCAGGAAGATGAGTAATTTGCAAAATAAACAGGAATATATTCCGAAGTGTCTTAGTCCATGTAGGCTGCTCTAACAAAATACCGTAGAGTAGGTGGCTTATAAACAACAGAAATGTATTTCTCACATTCTGGAGACTGGGACTTCTTAGACCAAGGTGCCAGCATGGTTGGATTTTGGTGAGGTTCCTCTTCTGGGTTGCAAACTGCTGACTCCTTGCTGTGTCCTTATATGGTGAAAGGGGACATACAAATTCCCTTAGGCTTCTTTCATAAGGGCACTAATCCCATATAGGAAGGATTAGTCTGTCCCCATGACCTAATCACTTCCCAAAGTTCTCAGTCTTTAATGCCATCATTTTGGGGCTTAGGATTTCAGCATATGAATTGTGGGGCTACATAAACATTCAGACCATAGCACTAAGGAAATCGTCAGTTTCAGGAAGATGAGGAGTGGACAGAGCACTGCTCACATACATTAAAACTGTATTTCCAAAAGACAATTTATTTACAAAAGAAAGATGTTCATCATACATCAATTGTATACAAAATTTTGTATTTATATGTATATATTTATGTGTAGCATCTCAATTATATACACACAAATATAGAGAGAAATCAAAATGTTTATAATGTTTATCTTTAGGTGGTGGGATTTGGGAGGATTTAACTAAAAATGATGTTATTATTTAATCTTAAGAAAAAAGCTAAAACATTTTCATACCCATATCGTTCATAGTTTTTTTACAATAAATATACTTTATTCTTATTTTTTCTTTGAGACAGGATATCATTCTGTCACGTAGGCTGGAATGCAGTGGCATAATCACTGCTCACTGGAGCCTCAACCTCCCAGTGTCAGGTGATCCCCTTGCCTCAGCCCCCGCAAGGTAGCTAGGACTATAGGTGTGTGTCACCATGCCTGGCTCAAAATTTTTTTTTTTTAATTTTTTCTAGGGATAGAGTTTTACCATGTTGCCCAGCCTGGTCTTGAACTCCTGGGCTCACCATTTGTGATCAAGTTATCCACTGGCCCTGACCTACAAAATTGTTGGGATTATAGGTGTGAGCCACTGTGCCTGGCCACATTTTCTTCTTATTATCAGAAAAAAAAAAAATTTCTTGATATCAGAAGAAGAAATGCCTTATGGGCTATATCATCTCACTTAATGTGCCCACAATAATCATCTGATAGGCAAGCAGTAGGGTTCCCTATATATGGATGAGGAGATGGAAACTGAGAAAGTTGAAGGAACTCATCTCACTCACATCATAAGCAATGCCATGGTTCTAATCTGGTGATTAAGATACAAACTACTTATATACAGTCAATCAGTTAAAATGTTATTTCAAAGAAGGGACAGAGATTTGGGTACATGTTTAGCTGTGCAAGCCACACATTAAGAAAAGACATTTGGCAAGAAGGGAGTTACTTGTGGTCTGCAAGAGTAGAAATACCTTCTTACAGAAAGAATAACAAGCACTTTCCTCTTGATGAGAGACGACTGTGGTGGGGAGATGGAGGCAGGCATAGAGCACTTGTTAAGAATCAGACAGGGCCGGGCGCGGTGGCTCACGCCTGTAATCCCAGCACTTTGGGAGGCCGAGGTGGGTGGATCACGAGGTCAAGAGATCGAGACCATCCTGGTCAACAAGGTGAAACCCCATCTCTACTAAAAATACAAAAAATTAGCTGGGCATGGTGGCGCGTGCCTGTAATCCCAGCTACTCAGGAGGCTGAGGCAGGAGAATTACCTGAACCCAGGAGGCGGAGGTTGCGGTGAGCCGAGATCGCGCCATTGCACTCCAGCCCGGGTAACAAGAGTGAAACTCCGCCTCAAAAAAAAAAAAAGAATCAGACAGTTCACCATTGAAAACAGGAGAGGTTATACTGGGAGTAACCACCCCCAATCTCAGTGGCGTAGCACAACAAAGGTTTATATTTTGCCTGTGTGATGTGGGTCGGCCCTGGGCTTCATTGTGGTTACTCAGACTCCAGCTGAAAATGATGTCATCTGAAATTGCTTCCACAGTCACTATGGCAGGGAAAGGGTAACGTTGGAGTTGAGCGCTATCACTTAAATGTTTCTACCTGGAAATGACAGTGCTTTTAATTGGCCAAAGCCACACCCAATTCAAAGGAAGAGGGGAAGTGTGGTCCTACCATGTGCCTATAAGGAAGAGAACTAGGATATTGTGAAACCACCCTAATGATCACCACAGCAGGGGAGATATTTTTTTGCTTTCTAAGACTCTTATTTTGGCAGCAAAGGAAACAATTTTCAGGACTTTAGAATGTGAAACACAGGAAGAACTCATGGGCATCATCTAGGAAACTGAGATTCCAAGGGTACAGTGATTGTTTGCAAAAAGACGGAGAGAAACAGCCATCATGCTAAGATTAGAAGGATGTATTCTGAGGCCAGTGCCCCACACGGTCCTGGTGTGCAATACTCACTGTCCAGGGCCACACAAATTGGGAAGAGTGAGGAGCTGGACGTGGGAACTTACTGTAAAACTCTGTTTTCAAAGTGTTGAGAGGAGCAGTTCTGTCTCATCTAATACCAGGAGTTACTGATGTTGGAGGCCAGTGCATCTCCATCAGTTCAGTTACAACTCTGGATTCTGTCTCCCGGATGCCCAGGTTTCTCCATGTGCTTGTTGCTGAAACGACTGGAGCAGCCTGAAATCATTACGCCAAAGTGTCATTTAAAGTTGGGTTAATGTAGAACTAGCTAGTGCTTGCCCTAAGCGGTCCGGTGGCAGGTGAACTAAGACTTGGAAACCCCACTGAGTAACACGGTGTTTATAGATTGCAGCTAAATCAGCTTCAACAAATGAGAGAACTGAACAAATGAGACTCCAAGAGACCTCTCACTCCTCTGGAATCAATATTATAATCAATAAAGAATGATTAGTGACAGAAAATGAATCACGAGGACACAGGCCACCTCATATGGAGGATCGGGCAGACTATCTGAATTGACATATGGAACGATCATTATTTTGATTATTATTATTATTTTTTTGGACACTGATATTGAGTGTATCAAAACATAGAAAAAGGGAGGAAAACTAAAAACTGCTTTAACTTCAAATATTGCTTTGGGCTTCTAGTCATATTTGTGATGTTCTGTGAACTTACATGAGAAACTAAAGTTTATTAATACTTTTAAATTTTATGTATTTGTAAAGTTGAATAATGCAACTTATTCTACAGTTAAATAGGGGTGGTTTTGTCACTTTTGTAGGCTATTCTTTATATTCCTTGCTTTTTGAACTCTTTTTGGCTTTGGCTTTGATTTAAATTACATGATCATTAAGTTTCCTCTTTTTATCAGGGCAAAATGAAGGGTTTTCTGAATCTTAAAAGCATATAATTTACCTTGGATGTGAACTAAAATGCTTATTCTGAATAAATTCCATGTAAAACTGCAGAAATTGTGTAGAAAGTCTTTATGAATTGGAACTTAACATGTCATTGACACATTTTGAAGGGTGTTCTGTTGACTTTAGTGATGGATGAGCCTATTCTGCCAAGATCAGCTGGAAGGGGTATGTTAGAAAGCCAAACATCAGCTCTGGAATCTAGAAACTTCCTGGAATCATGATTTTGGATCAGCAGGGTGGATACAGCCTGTATATGTGCAAGGGATGGCATTTCACCAGCTTGCTCCACGGAAGTCTTTGGAACGGAACCATAAACACCAGCCCTCTTTGTTGTGTGTTGGTTTTTAAGAGTCCCCAGTGGTTTGGGGAGGATAAGGCTTTGCCTCAGGGCTCCCTGGTCTCATTTTTTGGGACCTGGCTGAAAACCTTGGATATTTGATAGTCTGGCTTATTTCTATGGTGTATTAGCACCCTATAAAAGTTACATGTCATTTATTTCAAGTTTAGAACCCTCTCAAACTTCAGGGGTAAACCAAACTTGAACCTTTTGTGGCTGGAATTCTGTTTACCTTTGGCCAAACCTTGCTTCCTTAATGTAAGGCTGGGAGGTGAGGTGAGAGGGACTCCTGAGGCTCCCTGGACATAGAATAGCTTTTACCAAACACAGCTTTGATTCGTTAAAACATGACTGAATCTGAAACACGCAGATTAACCTTCTGTCAAAGTACTCTGGGGCCTACACACAAAAGTATATTGTGTTTGGCAAAATGCATTTTGAGTGTTGCTTTCCTTCAACAGTGAGGAAGTATCTGAGACTTTTGCCAAACACAGGTTGAAATTGGGTCAAGCCACTCAACCCCTACTTCTAATAAACATATTAAATCGTTTTTATAAAAGTTATTGGGCAATCCAATTGACCAAGAGCCTTGGAGAAATTTGGACATGTCTTGTGTTTGAAACAATTTTTTTTAGGTTTTTTTTTTTTTATTTCCTTAGGTTTTAGGGGAACAGGTGATCTTTGGTTACATAAATTCTTTAGTGGTGATTTGTGAGATTTTGGTGCACCCATCACCCGAGCAATGCATACTGAACCCAATGTGCAGTCTTATATCCCTCACCTTCTTCCCACCCTTTCCCCGGCAAATCCCCAAAGTCAATTACATCATTCTTAAGCCTTTGTATCCTCATAGTTTCAATGACAAAGAAAGAAAGGACTCCAAGACACAGTAGCCCAGTCCAGGGATCCCTGTGATTCCTTTGTGTTTATTGTTGGAACACAGGCTAGCAAGGATATCTTGCACTTGAATGGAAAAATAACACACAGAGCTCCATGTGCGTTTCAGATAGAGGAACTGATGAATGCACTGGAGAAGACCAGACAGGAGCTGGATGCCACCAAAGCGCGCCTCGCCTCCACACAGCAGTCCCTGGCTGAAAAAGAAGCGCACTTGGCCAACCTCCGCATTGAGAGGAGGAAACAGCTGGAGGAGATCCTGGAGATGAAGTGAGTACCCATTGTTGCTTTTGTAGCCTCTCTCTTCTAGCCTCTCTTGAGAGTGGGAAAGGGGAAGGGCTAGAGAAGATGAAGAAGAAACTCAGAGAAAGAAGAATTTAGCTAACACTTGCTGGTCATTTCTGAAACTATGTATTTTATTTTTTATTTGTAACTTTTTGCATATTTCTCTCAACTGTTACTGAAAAAAATATAGATCCAGCACTAGATTTTGTGTGTCTGTGTTTTGTGGACAGTGCTGGGATTCCTAGATCTGTTGCAAAGGTCTGATTCAGCCAAGAGGCTGAGGCCTCATTAAGCACAATGGTAATTTGAGCACTGCTCAGAGTAAAGTGGAAATTTTTCTGAGGAGGTATTTCCTAATTGTGACTATAACTTTGCTTATTATATTCTTTTCACTTGTGTACAATGCCTGGTTTGTGTAGGCTCTCATAGAATCTCAAGGTTGGCACCTCTTTGTTTAGAAAGTGAAATTCTGATTTGCTGGGCTTATAAAAATAGGTTAGAAATCCCACACCCCCACCACACCACACCCGAGTGGGGGCTTGGGAAGCTAAAGTGGGGGGAGACTGGATGGCAACCAATTGCTTCCTTTGATTTAATCCGTGACGTGCAGCTGAGTGCTGGGAAATGGTTGTTCCTGTGGTCCTGTGACACACCCACCTACGTTTCACTCTTACTTCATTCTCACAATGAAATAGTATCTTAGGAAGAACATAGGAAAGAAAATTACTGAGAGATTTTAATAATAACCAATTGTAGTAGTTCTGTCTGTAAAGAACTAGTCAAGCAGCATCTCTATGTTTTTAAATGAAATAATCACTAAGTTATAATTTAAATATAACTTTCCTCCACAATAAGGGGAAACATACATAATTATGGCATCTTAAGCCTGTAACACAGACTTTGAAATTGGTGGCTAGGTATGGAAGTGACCTTATCATGACCCAGCAAGCCTTACACATGGTTAGCATTAAATTCAGAAGGCTTAGATCATGGAAAATATGGAATAAAATATTTTGAAGGATTTAATAATGAGGACAAAACATTTATTCCTCATCAACTACCTCAGTTTCTCCAAGACCAAAGAATAACTAGGGTTTTTTTTCACATATAAACTAGCATATTTTTCTAATAAAAGGTAATATAATAAAAACAGGTATTATTATGCTCAGTTCAGAGGTAAGGGAGCCGATACTCAGAGAGATGCAAAAAATTTGCTTAAGGCCATCTGGCCACAGCAAAACCAAAGTTTTTTACCTCAAGCTCCATTTCTGCTACTTAATTTTATCGAGGAATTTATGTGAATTCATCAAGACTAGAACTTTTGTCTGTTTGAGTACTATAGTCATCATGCTGATGAGAGCAGTGCTGGGCACGTGGGAGGTGCTCAGTGATTGTTACTCACCTATCACATGCAAGACAGTGTCTTGCATGTGATAGGTGCTCAGTGGTTTGCTGAGTGAGTGACTAGGTTGAATGCTGGAGACTGCATTTTATGTAGTTAAGAATAAAAGCATTTTAAGTATCTGTGATGTTACCACCATCAGTAATTTATTAACCCTATTAAAAGAATACATGTTTATAAGCACAGCATACATAAAATCTTGATGTTTGCCAGTGATTACTATTGCTTAAAGGATTAACTTATATAATTAGTTGTGGAAGATGTGTATGAATTTAATCAACACTCAGAAAAATTATAACTGTCAATATGTGTGTAAACACTCAGCTAAGAAAGATCAAAAGTATAGTGTAATATTAAATCATTGAAGAAACAGCAATATTCAAAATGGAAAGTCCATTTATGAATGTATTCATGTTAGAATCTAAAGTTATGTCTTTTTATAATGTCTATATACAAAGTTCACAAAATGCTTTATTTGAGAAAGTTTCCATCTTACCGATATTGACCAACAAAACTTCATATCCTAGAAAAAAAGATGTAATGTTATGATTTATACAAGAATACAGAAAGATTTGGAATTACATATACTTCCACCTTCATTTTGGATTTGATTTTTGAATGGAGATTAAAAATACTGAAATTCAACTTATGACTTAGTTTTACCCTTGGAAAATTTAGCATATGATTTTTTTTTGCATCTTTCACAATAAATGTAGTATAGAATAAAAAAGTATTAACAATAGCCAATACTAGCATTACTGCATTAACAATAGGGACCCATTGATTCCGTCGGCTTGTATTCTTTCCTGTTCACCCATCCCTCCTCTGCCTCCCTGTGTGTTATATGTCAAGTCCAGCCTAGTTTTTCTCCTTGTTTTCCAGCTGTTCTCAAGTAGTTAACTCTCCATCTCCTGAAGTGATTTATTATGCCATTATAAAGAAATTTTAATTACTTCCTGTTTATGAAAGGAGCATAGATTTCCAACGTTTTGAGAGAACAAGTAATGGTGAAGTATGCTGGTTTGTGAGTCATCAGCCCCGGGTTGGAATCCTGTTGGTTCCACCTGGTGGCTGTGTGACTTGAGAGAATGCCTGTAACCTCACTAACCTTCCAGTTTCCTCCTGTAATGACTTGCATGGGGGTGTTTGTGAGGAGGGCTTCTCAGAAGAGGGCTTGGCACACAGAAAATGATATATGTATGCAAATGGCGCTATCAGCCAATGAAAATATGTCCTTTGTTTAGTATACTTTGTGAAGAGTATCATTTATCTAAAATTTGGATTTATTTTTCTAAAACATATAAACTTTTTCCATGTGTATGTTTTCCCACTTAACTTCATGGTTTCAGATAGCACCTAACTAAGACCTCTTTTGGTGAATTGCCACATTATTGCTGAAGTGCTTAATCTGCTGCCACTGCAAAATAAATACAAAATTCCTGTGTTAATTCTTTTGGTGAAAGTAACAAAGCCTTGGTTCATTAAGCCTGATATGGACCCTATTCACTATTTAACTGCCCTGGAAGCCCAATCTGTGGGCTTCTGCTCTGGGACTCTGGGAGGGCTTAGGTACAGGGCAAGTATATTGACTGCAATCTGCAAGGAGAGGCACCAGCCTCTTGGGCTGTTCAGGTTCACCCCTGATTTGATCAATCACAGTGTTTAAGCTGAGTTGACACACTGGTTACTTGACATTGAATTCATTTAAGTTCGTGGGAACAGCCAGATGGGTATTATTGTTGGTGAATTATTATCATCTGTGCCAAGCATTGTTGGTTTTTTATTCAACGGGCACCCATCATCTTTACACAGGCATCTTTAGGTCAGGTCTACCCAGTTTCCAATCCCTGGTGGGAAGGGAGAGGCCGTGTGCTGTTTAGAGGGAAGAGGGGTGGGACCATGACTCAAGAGAAAGGAATTGTGATCTCATAACTCATTTCTGTCTCACTCCATAACATTAAAGATCACTCTCTGGTTGCCTCAGTTTTCTCTTCAGTAAAATGGAGGTGATAGTACCTGCTTGCTTACTCTATGGAACTCGTAGGGATAAGTTTTTTTTTTTTTTTTTTTTTTTAAGTAACAAACTAAAATTAATATAAACCAGCATATGTGAAAGTGCTTTGAAACCTAAAAGGCACTTTTGAAATGAGAGTTGGTGTCTGTGGAATTCATTGCAAACCCAGTGGCACAGAGTTTTAGAATTGGAAAGCAGCTGGGTCCAACCTCCCAGCCTGCACAAGCCGGTCTTCCATTTCACAGGATTACTCTTAAGGAATTCACCAGACCCTGGTGAACACCATTCCCACTGGATGCCATGGGCTCATAAGGTAGTGGTTCATGCTCCATGGCCCTTACAGGTAGCTCATTTGTCCTTATGTTGAACTGAAATGTCTTTCCATTTGTCTTGGTTTTTGTTCCAAACTATATAGAATTTACCTGAACACCCTCCAAAGATAGACATTTGTTTAGATATTTTTTAGGTGATATTGTTTATTTTAAGGGAAAAAAGAGGCAGTATAGAGAAACTATATGAAAAAATAAAATTACTCATGATCCTAACATGCAGAGACACTAATAGCATTTTGGTATATGCCTTTGCAAACACTCCTTAAATTGTAAAGAATATTGGACTGTACTTGCATATTTTGCAAATCCCTCTTCTTTGTGAATGTGACTAGCCTTCTATTGTTGCAAACATAGGATTGTATTATTTTTAATTACTCAGTCTACTGTCATATAGGTTTACGTCATTATTGGGCATCTGTCTTAGTTCCAGTGTTTTGATAAGCATTCTGCTATTTAATTTTATTTTATTAACATATTTGTAAATACCTGTGGACTGTCAAGCTGTCACAAGAAATAGCACAAAGAGGGTTCTCATACCCTTCAACCATTTTCCTAATTGGTAACATCTTGCATAACTAAAGTACAGTATCATGTGAGGAAGTTGATATTGGTGCAGTCTGTCAGCCTTCTTCAAATATCTCCTGTTTCACATATCTATGATTATTCCAGTTTCTCCAGTTTTACATGTATTCATTTGTGTGTATGTGCATATTTAATTATATGCACTTTTATCACACATGTAGATTTGTGTAACTATCACCACCGTCAAGATGCAGAACTGTTTGTCACAATGATCTCTGGTACTCCCTTTTTATAGTTACATCCACTCTTAGGCTGTTTCGTTTTTACCCAGAGTTTTGTTTTGTGTTATATCATTGTGGGACATGTGCCACACTGACCTACGTTTTCTCCTGCCATTCTTCTTTGGCTTCTCTTGTTTTAAATGCAGACTGGATTTAGAGTGAGTAAATATTGCCTGATTCTTCCAATATAAAGATTTCTCATGATGTAATTTTATTTTATTTACAGTGGAATTTTCCCATGTTGGATATTGAGAATCTATCACGTGGTAGGCACTCAAAAAAGTGTTTGACAAATGAAAGGATGAATTAATTAAAATGTATAAATATTCACTGATGATCTACTGTATTCTAGGTACTGTTTTAGATGAACAAACTGGACCTTGTTGAGCTTGCATTTTAGTAAAATGAGTGAAGGAAATGAAAGAACAAATAAA